CACGAAAAACAAAACCCTCGGGGGCACCCTTCAACACCCCTCAATCTCTCTCGTCGGGAAGGTCCTTCTCCGCACGCACACCATAAACAATCGCGATGGGTGTTGATGTTTGAAAGAGGTGTGGTGGTGGTAACAACACTTTCAGAATCGCCTTCAGCCAAATATTTAGCATAAATTGATCGATTGACCGACCAATCGACTGATTGATTTATTATTGATTGATTGATTGATTGATTGATTGATTGATTAATGGATTGATTTTTAATTCAGGTTGTTTTTGTTCTCGGATAAATACTTGCATTACATCCATATTTTCAAAAGGAGATAAGGTTTTGACAACTTGCCAATTTTAAAAAGAAGGCGATGTGAGAGACATTGATGCTATCTGGAAATGTAAGGTAATCCACAGAGATCTTTAACGTCCTACGTACTCGAAAAATTCTTGTAAACATTGGAATTTATTGCATGTACTGTATTCATTGCACACTACGTACAGTACGATACGTCACAAAAACCGCTCCGATCAATTGATCAAGGAAAAATACGTACGTAATTAATTAATTAATAAATCCGATCATTATGCATAATTGTGCAAGGGAACAAGCGCCAAGGATACGTCTGACGGAACATATGACTCAAATGGAGGCGGATTGTATTGGTTCCTGGAGTTGAATGCGACACTTTATTTGGCAGTTCCTTGTGATCTCTTTCTTGTTATAATGGTGAACGATTTTAATTGCTGTATCTGCTGTATATTTCTGTTAAATCTGTCCAATAAGAACTAATAAGTGATGAGCATAAAGAATTAGGCGTTTTTTGTAGACACTTGCGAATTCGCATTCCCTGCACAAACTGTACCATACTCTGTTAACAGCTACCTGCGATCGACAATTCACTTACTTTGTTGTTTGCAAAGGAGAGAGAGAGAGAAAAGAGACAAAAATGTCCAAGTTTATATGTATATATATACAGTATATATTGTATATACTGTATATGCACAGTATATACATGTATACGGTATATTCATTTTTTTTTTTTTTTTTTTTTTTTTTTTTTTTTGAGAAATGTGATCTTGGAAAAATAATCTTTTTGTGTGCCGGCATGTCACAAAGCCAATCGCTCCTCCCGCCTCACCTTACATGTGTCGCCAATCAAGTCCTCCACCGAACACCGTACGTAAAAATGTGCTGCAAGTGCAATTTGGAAATTGTAAAAAAAAAAAAAAAAAAAAAATTTTACTCTAGAAAAAGATCAGACCGCGCGATCTTCCCAACTGATATGTATCACTTAATCTCAATCCCGTACCTCCGATTTCCTGTCGATTAGTTGATCAGGTTTGTGTAAGAAGAAATCAATTAGGGGAAATAACCATTTTTGTTGCGAAAAAAAAAAAAATTTTTTTTTAACATTGTTTTGGTGAAATATAATATCATCTTCATCGTCATCGTTGTAACAATAATAAATGCTGTTTCGGTGAAGGAGAAAGAATTATCTCTCATGTCTCGTGTGTAATGTTGTCGGTGCTCTCATTTCCGACTTGTACCACCCACCGAAATTCCTGATTTGGACAGGAACGAAAATTAATCTTCTTTGATCGCTCTGCATGGTTTCCACCACTGCAGAAGGATTAACGAACATTCGGACCTCTGGGCAGTGATGAAATGATTTCCCTTGAACAAAAGATGTGCCGTTTCTGACCTTGAGACCAAAAACTTGAATCTCACAAGAACGACCAAACTCAATCTAGATTAGCCCCCGGAGATCTTTTCTGACAAATATCCTTTATTATATTGCGTATTTATTGTGTATGCACACCTGGATGTTCTCATTCACCGTGATAAACGATCGTATCACTCACACCACCTATATTATAATACGAAGCGTCGGTCATTGCGTTCATCTATTGTTGTCATCATGAGCGCGAAGAGCGAAACACAATGTACTTTACTGTATGTAGGTGGATTCTCTAGGCTGACCCATGCGATGGTAATTTCAAATGAAATGAATGCAATTACTCCGTATAAAAATAAACATGAAATCTTAATCTTATTTACTCAGCGAATCTTTGATTTCCATCCGAAGTGTGCTCTTTTGTTTTTTCTGATACTATTGTATGTGGTGCACAAGTGGTGAACACAAAAAAAAAAAAAAAAAATAACGTACGCACGCACGCACGCACGCATTGGGACATTTTTCATGAATATTTTAATGATTCATACCAATATTGCGCACAAGATTCTTCCTTATTATGTATCTCGAATACAAATTAATTTGATTATGTATTATATCACGCACACCCTTAACCTACTGGGTTTTTCCACAGATTAGTTTGATCACCGATTATATTGCCCCAGGCCTCCAAGTAAATTTTGCATATAAATAACCAGGACCTCTTCAAATTTTGTTTTAAGTTAGCACGAAGATAAAGTCAAGGCATTTTTTTTTTTAAAAAAAAAAAAAAATTTAAAAATAAAAAAATATATATTTTTTTCCCTTTGTTTCTTTTGGGAAAATAATAAATAGCAAGAAAAAGAAAAAGCAAAAACAAAAGACCGCTCTTGTAAACTCCCTAAATAACACCGTCACCATTTCACAATGGACATAACCTCCACCTGCACTCTAGCACCCTTCAACCATTTGCCGCCAAAGAAACTTCCAGAATTCCCGTCGGATTACTCTTCTTCCCGGACTCGTGGTTTACCGTCACCATCGTGAGTATGAGATGCGGTGGTATCATCTAACGTTTCCTTGATAACTCTGTTAATTAAAACCACATCAAATCCTTGAAAAAAAAAAAAGAATTATGGAAAATTCGAGCGAGAAAAAAAAATTCCTTCCGTCGCTAAATTCAATATTATACTCGACCTCTTTGCCCGAATTGCAAAATATATCCGCACCGCCTCCTCCGATACCCATTCCAAAGTTACAGCACACCTCGGTGAATCATGCATCAAGTGCCCAAAGTCAACACCACTACGAACAACCCCCAATTCATCACGAACCCAATGGTCAAGGTCCAAGCGACGACAACTCAAAAAAGAATCTGCCCTTCCTGA